AGAAGAGGGGACACATGTTGATGTAGAAGAGACATGAAGAAGAGGGGACACATGTTGATGTAGAAGAGACATGAAGAAGAGGGGACACATGTTGATGTAGAAGAGACATGAAGAAGTGGGTTTTGCAGAATAGGTGAGCACAGGTTGGATGGTTTGTAATTCAATACTTCTAGGTTTTGTGGAAAGGTGGGCGCGCCAAAAATGATGTCTTTGTGTATTTTGGTTATCATGAAGGCTCTGCTGTGTTTGTGAAACTCGTGAAAAGTTAACTTTCACAGACACGTGGTTGTCACTGGACAAAGCTAGAAACAAGTCATGACCTTATAGGAGGATATGAGGCATTGCAGTTCATAAAAGGAGTGAAATAGCCTAAATTAGTACTGAAATGTGGGGAAAACAGTCTTAAAAATACCCCCAAATACATGTAACAAAAATATATAAAATGGTCAAAAAACACACATAGGATGATCTTATAGAATGAGTTGCAGTGCTGCAGATTGAACAGTTCATGAGTTGAGTAAAATGCAACAGCAGTACCATTCCTCCACAAACACCATAACAATGACATTTCACTGCACAACCAATACTTGTACTTTAAATTCAATTAAAAGCCTTTACTGTGTGATTTCAGTACTATTGGTTCACCGAATGCTTCGATACTTATTTCACAACTGCTGCCTGATAAGAGATGATATCAAAGGAGGTGTTTATCTTGTTCTGCAGTGCAAACCCAGCACAGTCAAAAGTTACACAACCTAGCATGTTGTGCTAACTAGCCCGCTAACGTGTATATGTATAGATAGATAGATAGACAGAAAGCCAACAGAAGCTCTTTGGGTTTAAAATCATACTTAAGACAGAGCTATGTTGAACCATTTCTACAGTAAGTAATCAACGTTACATAACAACAATTTAAAATGTAAAACAATAATATGATTAACCGTTAAGATCACCTGGTAACCACGGACGCTGGAGTTAGCTTAGCTTAGCATATGCGGTTCTCTTTACACAATGTGGGTCTTTATTGGAGTCAAGACATATAATAATAATATATTTTATTAATCAAGCGTTTTATCAAGTGATCAAAGACGCTGTTAATGTTAACTATGGTGGTTTTAGTGTAAATACGCTAAAGAAAATGGGTCAGATTCTTGTTAGCACGACTAGCTAACATTTGTAGTTCATTAATTACATTCCTAACACACTAAATGTAAATAACACTATTTTTAAATGTTGTAAGCTATAATTTGGCCCTTCATTGTGTCTAATTAGCCAGATAGCCTACATATATTGTTATATTTCAGGGTCAGCTTGTATTACTGTTAGTTCTGTTTCTGCTGAGATGTATTTTCCATTTTGATATGTTTGTCAGCTTTTTATATTTAAATGTATGTGCAATGCCTTGTTTAAACACGCTGATGTCACGAAAACCTAACCCAATTCAGGATCAATAACGTGTATCTTATCTTATTTAGCTCGCTAGCTACTGCAAATTGGTAATAGCAGCATTAGCATTGTTAGCATCGTTAGCACGGTGAGAACCATACCTGTGGAAAGTGAGGGTTTAACAGCCACAGATCCCCCACTTGATAACGGCACACAGTAACATCATGGCTCCACTGCTAACACACAACTTAAAAAGGCCCGTTTTTCTGTGAGTTTTTACCAGGATTTACTTCCAGGAGCGTTATAGAGAAACCGCGGGTCAGGGATCGAATCTCCCGGCGCTCAGATCACTCTGCTCCGCCCCATCCTGCCACCGCGTCATCACCGCGTCGTCACCAGAGATCCTATGAGGAGAAGATGGACACCACGAAGAGGCAGAATATTGTTTTTTTTAAAGAAATGTAATTATTTAATTAATGGAAACACATTTTTGCTCAATAATTAAGTTAAGGGGGTTTCTTTTAATATGAAACACAAACAACAACCTGAAAAACAATGACACGTGCATTACGTCACGGTTCAATTACCTACCACATAATTCAGCCAGCTCTTTCACTGCGTCATCACCGCGTCATCAACAGAGATCCTATGAGGAGAAGATGGACACCACGAAGAGGCAGATTTTTTTTTATAATAATAATAATTTTAACAAAGAGATGCAAAACAGGTAGGCCTACAACAAATATAAATAAATACATTCTCAAACTGTCTCTGTCATGTTCAACAGAGGCACGAAGAAGCTTAAAACGTTTCTGGTCCTACCCCCTCTAGCGTACATTTTTCTTGAAAATAAAAGATTAGGTCATCGTCATCAGCGTCATGTTTTTACAAAACAACCAAAAAATAAATAACTTTTACAACAACAAGAAATAACAAGTATGAGTTCACAGGTCCTGCTCATAACCATTAATGGAAACATTAATTGTACTTGGCCCGAAGAATCTACGAAACAAATTATCTTAAAGATATACTAACTATAGATGGCATTCATTTGGCCTCCAGTGAGACTGTAAGGAATCTTGGTGTTATATTTGATCAGGATTTATCCTTTAACACCCACATAAAATCAATTTCAAGGACCGCCTACTTCCATCTACGTAACATTGCAAAAATCAGGCATATCTTGCCTC